ATCTATACTCACTTAAAAATTAAAACATCGTAAGAAACCAACCAGAGACCACAGATTATGATCTCAACTAAAAGATTGATAGTACCTATAGACAATTTACCCAATATCAAAACTAACAGCTCACTATTGAGATTGGTGAACGAAAATTTGCTAAGTCGGATGTAAAGTAAGACGGAGACAACACATGGGTGTACGACGTCTTCTTAAGGTAATTTTTTTAATTTTTAGATCATTTTAGGATTTTAAGTGCATTTATCCAACACTAAAATCCTGTTTTTAAAATTCTATATTAAGAAAAGATTTTTACTTAAAAAAATAACTTTTTAACGTGCTAACAAGGTTTTACCTAATCAAATATTATTATAATCGTAATTTTTCGAACGGATCCATACAACATAAACAATTAGATTACGAGTGGCGACGAAAAATTAAATGAGAACAGTTCTCTTTTTAATTTAAATTTCAAGAAGAATTGAAATAAGTGCAATCCTAAAACTCTTTTAAATTTAATAAATATATTTCTTGGTTCAAAATTTGTTTAAGATAAATATGAAGTGCATTTTTTAACTGAAATATTTTGAATTTTTAGTGCATACAACTATTATTTTTTTCCCATTACATTTCCAGCTATAATAATTAAAACGTTTTAAACATACCTACCTACAATAAGTGTTTTAAGTATTTTTTTTAATGTATGTTGATTATAACAGTATCTTAAACTGTTCAGTAAAATCCAATAAACGTTATTATGATTACCTACAAAGTACAAGTTATACATAATAAGTTTGTGCACAAACTTTGAACATGTTTCCTATATTTTAAATTTTAATAGACCAGTACGCGTTTTTACAGTTGTCAACGTCTACGATTTAAAATAGAAATAATTGAAAAACATTATAAGCTATATTATTTTAAATATTTTTTTGTCGTAATTCAATTGTTCAGCACAATACAGAGACAAAAAACTATAATATACGAGATAGAAAAAAAGATATTATATTATTATCGTTGTTTTATTTTTTATCGCAGATAAAAAAGTATTAACTATTAACTATTCAATTATATATATATATACGTTGATTTGAATTTAAATCATTGCTATTGGCAGATTATTTTTGTTTACTTCAATCGCGACAATCTATACCAATATACGATATTCTTTCCTATATTTATAATACTTATCGAATCATTTTTTATAAAGTCGGTTTAGCGTTGTCTAGCGCTGTATTATTATTATTATTATTTGCACATCATTTTGCTCCAAGTTTTTTAAGGAACAACATTTAGCACGTCACTGTCGATTTATATTCCAGCATAGTAGCATACCTATTTGTATTTTTGTGTTTTACTTTTTGATATTTAATATTAAATATTATTATTTAAATATCATGGAATTCAGAGGATATACGTATGACAATAATGGAAAACGGAAAGGAATCACGTAAGTACTTACAACCTTTATGCTTTATGCACCTAATTTTATTGTTATAAAATAAAATACAATAGATGTAGCCATATAGGTAGTGATAACTAGGGCTCGAATTTCAATGCATTTGCATATTTTTTTTAAAATGTCTTACACGATGCTTTCCAAGTTACTCCATGTTCTAACCACAAAATTTTGGGGCAGATTGTTTGCATTTATAGCGGATTTTATATTTTTTAGGGTATTTTTGACGTTTTTAATGCATTTTTAAATTATTTAAGACATTTTTTTTTACCTATTTCTTCTCCTATTAATACTAAAAAAATTGATTTCAATGAAATATCAACATAGTTCTACGTAATATAAATCATTTACATTTTGAACTACAAAACATCAGGTAGTCTGTTTATAAATTAGACAAGGCTGGAATATCACACCAACCAATAGCCTATTTAATTGCATACAACTTTTATCAGAGTATAACAGTGTACCTAGACGTGTAGTGCCTACATTAGTACAGTGAAATACAAACGTCAAATTTAATTTTTTACTATTTTTTTATATTTATAAATGTACCTATACAATTTTACATGTTAAATGCATTTTTTTATATTTTTAGTTTATTTTTTAGAGTTTATAGTTCATAAATGCATTTTTTGATAGGTCATTTAAATCCAAGCCCTGGTGAAAACTTATAAATGTAATGGAATTAAAGGAAAATATTATCATACATCATTGTAAAATCGCTGTAGAATCTAATAATCGCATTATGTGAAATGATTATTATAATTTTATAATTTTTTTATTAAGATATTTTTTTCAAAATTATTTTTATTATGAATATTTCTAGAAATGAATCAATAGTCAATATTAAATTCTTGTTAAAATATAATATACAGGGATCTAGTATATTGGATATCAGAATTCTTAATGCAACAATAGAAATAAATTGTACAGGACATGAGTACAGGACCATAAAATAAAAACCAAAATTAAAAAAAATACATATTTATGAAAATTTAGTCCCAAAAATATAATATTATAATATTATCATTTATGCTTACATTATGGTTAATTATATAACATTTTATAATATGATTAAATACAGATAATTTTTTTTTTCTAATTTTCAGTTATTATAAATGCGCCAAGTCGAATAATGTGTGTTGCCCTGGTACAGCCAAAAGAAATGTGGATGGTACGTTTGTTGAACTTAAACCTCACCTCATCACACATTTAAGATCAATGGATGATAATGGCAATTTGTTAAAACTGTTTAAATCAACATTGAAGACAAGGGCCAAAAATGAAAATTCCGCTTTAAAAACCATATATGATGAAGAATCGCGAAGGTGATATTAAAATGAAAAACATAATTATTTATCTCTTCATTGACAATCGAATAAAATATACTCTTAACTGTTTCAGGCATACTGTTGCAGCTGCTTCATATCCGTGGTCAACTGCTGAAAGCCTAATGTGTTTTGCCAGAAGATCTTCGTTGCCTACACTACCACAGACGCTTCAAGGTTTGGCAACACGGTTTGAAGATGGCTGTTTGAATAGATTTTCTTGTTGTGATACAATGATTTTTCAAGGATGTATTTCTGATACAGAAGGTAAATTACTAACTGCAAAATATAAATCCCAATTGTGTTACAAAAATATTTATTTACTTATTTATGATTTATGAAGATTATAAATATTAATATCTAGTTGTATACATTTGTTTGAAATAATTTAATATTGTAAAAGCCAAACAAACCACCTATAATAGCAGAGCATTTAACAGAATTTTAAGATTTTAANGGTCGACCGGCAATACCCCCGCGCGCGGAGGGCGTGTAGTAATCCCACCACTCCGCCGCTTCCACCCTGGCCACCGCCGTCACCTACACCTCCACCTCCGCCGCCGCCGCCACCGCCGCGTCGTCGTAACCATGGCGACCGCATCCTCTGACGGCCATGAATAATGAAGGCGAAACCATATACACTGTACTCGCGGACTAGAGTAGACGAGTGTGTGGGTGTGCGTGTGTGCGCACGTATAGAGTGTGGAACGGCGGCCGATAAGATTCCCTCGGCGGCTGCTGCGGATGTTGCTGCCGCTGCTCCGCCGCCGCCGCCGCCGCCGCCGCCCCTTCCTCCTCCTTCCGCAATCGTCGACGATCCCCGGATGAGCCTCGTGCGGGTTATACGTGTACACAGTCAGTCCTTTACTTTATAATAATATAATATTATATAGGTATCTACTGTAACCATTACCGTGTAGTCGGGCCGCAGCTTTCCTATGTTATAATATTATTATAGTGACTATGTCTCCGCGGATCCGATCGTTATAATATTACGTAATATATTTAATATAATATCGGCTAGCGTTGTCCGCACTCACTCGCGGTTCGTCCCGATCGGAACGGCGTCGATCGTCGGACGTCTTTTGATATCTTCGCGTGGCACATGTTCGTGCAATACTATTTTTAATATTGTACCGATCCCGACATCAAATCATTCTACGATTATTGCATGGCCGGCTGGACGACACGCGACTTGCAATATTTTGTATGATCAAAGTATGTGTAGATGTGCGAATAAAATATACAACCGTGTGTATCAATTGCTAGCGGTTATCGCTCTTCGGTCTCAGATTTATTGTGTGGACGTTTCTAGGTCCGTGAAGATATACATTTCGAGAGAAGTACTATAAACACGCCATTACTGCATTGCGATTATTGCGTTCTCGAAGATGTCTCGATGTCTTTTACAAAGATCAAAAAAGCATGACACAAAAATTATTTTGCACTATAAAAATCTAATTATGCCTACAGTATCCGCGGTCATACAGACGAGAAATATATTATTATGAATTCAAATCTAAATCTCGATCGGAAAGATTCTATTTCGAAATGTTATCAGTAGATATATATAAATAAATATGGAATTATGGTAATAATTAATAAATTATGGTAATCGCATAAATCAATATTAAAACCATTTTAAACTTCTGAAGTTAAAGATGAAAGATGAATCATATATATATGTATACATTTTTAAGAGTTAAAAATGACTTTTTATTAACGCATAACCACCATTATAATAACTTATTAAAATGTACCCTCTTGTATTTCAGTATAATTTGGTTTATTTGAATTTTCAATTATCATCATAATTACAATGTATATTTTTACATTTGGTCTCAATATATGTATATGTCTTACAATAGGTAGGTACTTGATAAACCCATCGGCTACAAATTGTAATATAGTATATAGATAGGTATTCAATTTATATCATTACATTTATTTTGACTAATTTATTATAGAAATTATATATTGCTGGTTATGTATGTGTTGTGACAAAACCAAATGTAATCTATTTATTATTTTCTATTACCACATGTGCACATCTCACTTCTAATTGCTTCGTTTAAACTACAGTAGTTAGTGTTTTGGAGAAAAAATCGTTTCAGTGTAAGGCATGCCTGACCTACGAGTCGAAATAGTATTACGAGCCACGTGAGTTTATATATGATAACAATATAATAAAATACAAGAGCAATGGATATATTTATATATATATATACGTATTTGTGTGAGTATTGCCCATTCATAAAACCTTACTGGTGGTGGTAGAAAGGGACGACGGCGTTTTTATACATACGTTTATGTATAAGGCGGAAAAGGGTAAAAACAACTGTTGCTCTGAACTTTTTTCCCTACATGCCACCACCTCCGCCACTGCCGCCGACGTTTTATTCACGTGTTTCTGACCTTTTTCACGCGAATTCGTCGTCAAAACACCGACCGTCTATTGTTTTATTTTTGTCCACTTCAGCTCACAGTTGATTTTAGTTCATTATTGTGTAGGTAGGTAAGCACTGTTTAACTTAATAAACATATTCGAATATTATTTACGATTAGGTAGGAATACAAATATTATTTTAGTATGTAATATTCTTTCTTAGACGTCTTTGTTTTAGATATTATAAAACATAAATTTTAATCATTTCAAAGATGAAATTTAAATTAAATAGTGTCACTGATTAAAAAAAAAAATTGAATAAATAAGTAATTTTGTAACATTAAGCACACTTTCTTATTTTTTTGTTAAGGTACAAATTGTATTCGGTAAGCGGAATTTACCTTAAATGTAATATAATTATTTAAAATGTATTAAGTATAAACACAAAATTTAATAAATAGTTCTTTAACAATGATGTATTTTATTGTATTATTGATTTATGTTTGTTCAGTGAGTATGCCAAGATAAATAAAATAAATAACAGTTATACTTCATTAGACTGTATGATATTTATTGATTTAATCAAATTAATTAACACCTATATTATATTATTATTTAATATTGAAAATTTGTTATGGATTAATAATACACAATTATGCCAGTTACAGCTATTTTTTACAGCACAATTTCTACCAAAACTAAAATAATAATCAACTATTTTGACCATACTAATTTCAACTTATACCTATATTAGCTATCCTTACTTGATTCTTTACACTTTTTATGTTTATTTTATGTCATTTATATGAATATAATATATTCAATTTAATGCTATATTTTTTATTATAAACAGTGATGTTTTGTGTACATTCAATTTAAACAACAATGAAATGTGATCACAGATAATATTTCTCATATCTAAAATATAATTAATTTAAAATAAATTATTTTTCATATAGGTACTTATGTGTATAATATTATGCCGTGAAATAAAAATCATATTTTATTATATTCCTAATTATAATCATTACAATGATGTTGTACTAAATAATATATTTATACTATATCATACATTTATTTTATTATTTGATATTTCAATATTATTCTTCTTTATTATTAATAGCGATCATTTTTAAATGTGTGCGTATTGTTGAGAGTTCCATGTTAATTTTAATTACGTTTTCGTATACTTTCTGAGAATAACGCTAATAACCCTTTTCATCGAGTTTCTATAAATACAGAATCTTAAGAGACCCCTATCCTTAGTGTTCGGGTAGATGGCGTTGTGTTTGAAAGCTTAAGGGAGTGCAATCATTGATGGCGCCGTACTCCCTCTTTTTCTTTTGGGGATGAAATTATTAGTTATTACTGTCGCTAGATGGCGGTCTATCATACAGCAAACATTATATAACAAATATTGACCATTATATTATCTACATGGTCGAATCTTACAACTCCATTTTCCACAGGTACATTATTACGATGATACTGTTAAATATTATATTACTGTATTGTAAAATAACAACTTTAAATGATTTTTTAATGATAGATGCAATTTGTATAGGGTTTATCACTTAAACGTCCAACAATGTCGTTGGTTAATACTCCTGCTATAAGAGTTTATATGTACAAATCACAAACTTTGAATAGCTATTAATATTTAAAAGTTTAAATTATTAATGCAATTATTGTTTTATAGTGCATTCAGCTGTTATTTTTAAATTATATATACTTATAAGTTATATTTATTATTCATTCATAATTATTAAATTACAAGTAGGTATATTTCAGAGAGACGGAGTGCCTTTAATGGTAAAGTGCTTACGAAAATGTGTATAGCACAATATTAATTATATATAATAGTGATAGATACAGCCATAATATATTTATGCTTTTATATTTTTATCTTGTATTTATCTCTTGTATATCTAAGTATAATTGTATACCACAATGTTGCATAGTAAATGGATAAAAATCAAATAAAGGCTATTGAAAGATGGATAAACAACATACCTATACATTATGTACGTATATATAATATAATGGACGAACACTTTTTTAATTACATTTATCGGATGTAAACCAAAATATTGGTTTATTGAGTATAATAAAAGCTATAAAATAATAACTGCACGAAAAATGCATGTTCCGTCCATTTCTAATAATATTATACATAGTATATTATAATAATCGTAATTAGTGTCTTTATTTTATATTCTTGTGCCGTGTAGTCAATTTGGCTATTCATCTACCTGTCATGCTCGCAGTTTGTAAATATTTTATCGCCAATGTTTTTAGGTGAAATATTATAATAATATATAATGTGGTATGTGCATTTTCGGTTATATACACGCACCTATGTGGCTATATAATATATATATATATATTCTTGTGCCCGGGGTACCATTGCACGATTAACAACACGACTGACCGTCGTATAAAAGCACCGCGGCAAATGGCTGGTAAAAACAAGGGTTTACGTTTAGGATGAGCGGAAACACAATATCGCGATACCCGGACGTTTTTAGCGATTCGCATATTTAATTTTACAAAACCTAGCGCGTGTTTGGGTATTCACAGGAATTATCGCGAAATTCCCAATTCACCACGTTTTCCGTGCAAAGGTTTTGTTTTTTAGAACAGCCACAATGTATTACAACGTTTCACCCGGCGCACGTGTGCAGGTAAATGCTATATTCACTACAGTGATATGCATGTCTGGTACACGTGAACGTTGCACATACACATTTTGTGGTATGTGATAAGTACCACTCGGTTCATATTCAGTTTTTTACCTGCAAAGTACCTATCTACAATATAAATGTATAACTTTTAATTTCATTCCTTTAAGGGATTCTTTTATTTAAAAATATTATAAAAGCAAACTCGATATTGATAAATTACTTCGATGTGTTCA